AGCAGAGAGACCCAAGAGCAGAGCTGAATAAGCCTCAAGGATCACAGAGACTGTGGTCCAGAGTCTCACTGAGCTTTGAGCCAGAAGATCTTCTTCAACATCTACAGCAATGATAAAATCCCCCTGAAGTCATTCTATAACAGCTACATGGCTTTTTCCCATCATTCCTGACTGTCACTCAGCTCTCAGTTCAGTCTGTAGAGGCTCATGTATCAGTCAGTGGACAGAATACAACACAATATTACAAACACATGAGTCTGATCAGTAACTGGTCAGTGTTGTAGAATCATCTAAGGAAGCTCTGTCAGCATTTTAAACAGGCTGAGTTTGGGTGTCACATCATGATGATCCACAAGAGGGCACCACTCACCAGCATAAAAGCAGATCCAGCCAACGACTGTATTTATGAGTTACTGCATCCAAAGCTAATGAGTTCTACACAGTGAGGAACCCTCAGAACCTTCTAGACCTTCAGAGAAGACCTAATGATTTCTGAGAACTGAACAGTACGTGTCTGTAAATCTTAGATCATTTTTATTTAATAGAATAATCATGACTGTTGTTTTTAAACTCTAGTTTTGAAGTGATACTCATTTCTTTTTATTACTTACTGTTATGTTTCATTGTTATGAACTCACTTATCAACAGTAACCAAGGGGGGTGGGGCTGATAAACCTTCACCATCTGAAGAAAAGCAAAGTGAGTGTTGTGGTGATCTCTGAAAAAGAGCTTGTTTATAAAGGAGATCCACCTCTAATTAACTTTTTCAGAAAACATCCTCAAAGAACAGACACTGGACACACAGGAATATTGTGAGATGCTGCAGGACAGATGAACTGAAAACCTTCATCTCTGTAGGAGGAGCAGTAAAGGCTGATATTGAGGCAGAGACGCAGGAGGCCTGTAGAGGATCTGATGTGGATTCTCACTTCCACAAGCTTCAGTGTGGCCTGATGCATGCTGGAATGTCCACTGTCCCCTCTTCTCCTCTGAAGCTGCAGTCTGAGCTGCAGGGTACAGCAGCATGTCTGACTGAGATGCACATGTACTGCAGCTTCCTGCAGCTCTCCCTGTCATACAGCAGTCCACAAAACAGCTGCTCTCATTAAAATATCATATACATCATCTAGAAGATGAAGAACATTTAAATCCTTCATTTTGTCAAGAACGCAGGTTTCAGCATCGCTCAAAAAGGACTTTCATTTCTCACTCAACAAATATACCCAAATTACCTCTAAATATCTAGCTAGAACAGATCTAGAGTGCTTATAAACTCAGAACTGCATAAACAGAAGTTGGATCTTGTGATTAAAATGACAGTCATTTTAATTTTTTAATTTGTTTAACATTAATTTTGCTTGAAATGTCAGCAGACCACCCACCACCCCCCAATTCTGGGGTGCAATGTCTGATTAAAATCAAATTTATTCACATAACTTGCAAATCTCTCAAGTTCAGAAACTTCCAGTGTGTGAGATTTTACTAAAACTAATAAACACGGCTACCAAAACTGCCAAAGCTCTCAAATAATAAACACAGTTAAGATGGAGCTTCTTATTCTCCAGCTTCATATTCAGATTTTTCCGTTCCACCTTAAATGGTGCAGCAGTTAAATTTAGGCTCCTTATAAGTACAAATTTCGAAAAAGAACCTGGCAAATGAGAACCAAACCCGACATCATGTTTCAGGAATATTTGTAAACACCAAGTTTACCTCAGTAAACACATCTTTAATCGGGAAACACCTTAAATTTTAACTTGGACTGTTTTAATGAGCGGCTAACGGGCTAAACGCTGTAGTATTAAACGGATAGTTCCGGTCCTAAAATCTGATTGGCTGAGCCGCGTTTGAAGCTGTTGTAAAACTCTGCTATGACCGCCTCACAACAACTGAACTCTGTATTACTGCGCCACGTCAGGAAAAATCCCTGTTATGTTGATGGAATAATCTTTGAATCTAATGCTGCTCACATGGACCACCGAGTTACTGATGAAGTAAGAGCCTGTTTTTTTGTTTAAACTGATAGGCTTACAGTTTATTTTCCTAACTAAAACTAGGCTGGTCAGCTAGTTAACCGGCTAAAAGACAGCTAACAGCCTGAACAACTATATCATTAATATCACAGGGTTGAAATAAAGTAAGCTACTTACAATACGACCCACTGTAAAACGGCAATAAAAAGTCTAAAGAATGTCACTTGACTGGCTTACAGGCTTCAAAAGTCTGTGTTTCAGTCAGAAGTCTCGTCAACCCCAGGCTGAGTCCCAAACGCCTCACCTGATCCCTAAGTAGGTTTTTAAATTTTAGCTTCTGCAGACAAATAGTGCACTATTTGAGAAGTATGGATGTGGTTCAATCCCAAATTATTTTTATAGCTATTCCAATGTCTATTTTTTTAGCTATGGTATGCACTCTGGCTGCCAGGAGCCAATATTTAAATTCCTACGTAGTGCACTATGTAGGGAGCAGGGCGTCATTTGAGATTCAGCCCCAACGGGAAAAGAGGGGCGCCGTTGGATTAGCGCTATACAAGATTCGAGTGGTAATTTGGTGACCAAAAAGCACTTATAAAGCACAGGTTTTTACATTAAAGAGTGCTGTGTTACGATATGTTCACGGTTATACGACCAAATGTTAAAAAGTTCATGAAATGACCGCAATATACACCGATGGGCGACCTTACGGTCCTCTCTGCATTCAGAGGTCCACGGTTGCTTGGTAACGCTACCAAACTTTAAAGGAACATTTAAACATTTCTTGGCGGAATACTTGTTTATGTCGATTATTATTAATCACGACTTCAATTGTTTTCTGAAAAACAGTGTATTTTATTATATTTTATGTTTATGTTTTATAAAAGCGATTAGCCTCTTGAGGCTGTGCGTTACTGCGATTTTATCTCGGGGAAGAGGACAGCTCATCTCTCGGGGCTCATTGCTTTAATCAGCCGCTGGAGCTGCTGTTCTTTTAAACGCGTCTCACTGGCTGATCTGGTGCTGCGTCCAAAATCACTTCTACACTTCACCTACTACACTAATGAGTGCATTTCTAGTGGTACTGCACTGTTTTGTACATATTATTTAGTGTGCTAGTGTGCGGTTTGGGACGCAGAAGAAGTAACGCGGTGAGAAATCTCATCCATTTTGATTTCAGATTTCTTTTGTTATCACCACGTCAACAAATCAAACAAATAAAGACAACACATTCAAATATACTGATTAATACGATTAAAATGAGATTTAAACTGAGTATCTCCTCCAAAAAATGTGTTTTACTGGCTTTGCTGGATCGGTTATGGCTTTGTTATCTCATAACAAACCGCCACTGCCAAAATAGTGTGACCAAACTGCGTGACGTCATCAGAGTGTTATGAATTGATTAAAAATACTAAGAATTTCCCGGAGTAAATCGTCACATTCATATCTGTGTAGTTGACGCGTACTGGAATGACGTCAGTCGCACCAACGGTAACCGAGGGGGCGGGGCTTAGGGACCATATAAATATCAGCCCCCTCCCCTCCCTCCTCTCATTATGACGTCAGTCGCTCAAGGGACGCACGGAGCAGGTTGTGGAAGTGAAACCGTTAAATATCGCGATACAACAGAAGAAACTTTCTACATTTTCTTTTTGGGACTCTTTTACTGAAAAAAACACCACCTTAACGGTTCTTTATCACTTTTACTTTCGACC